AGGAAAAAAAGTAGAAGAGAAAAGAAACAGAGACAGAAAGAGTATTGTAGATTTGCATGATTCCAAAGGCATGACCAACGGTTGGGAACTTTGATAATCACTTACCACCGTGGCAGCGCAGAGGAAAGACATGACAAAAATAGTTCGTCTATGACGAGACCAGAGGAGGGAGCCAACGATCACCAGGATCTTGATCAGGGCGGATATTTGCAAGAGGATGTACAAGTACATCAATTGCATACAGTAACTGAACCAGCACCGACCAAAAAGGAGGAGGACCAGAGGACCGGCCTTAGCTCAGTTGGTAGAGCGGAAGACTGTAGTTGTATCTGACATCTTTAGGTCACTAGTTCGAATCTGGTAGGCCGGAAATCTTTTTTAACTCTTGTTAAGAGTGCGTTGTCTTTGGTGTTGTTTTTCAAAAAAAAGACATTACTATTTTTCGTTATTATTGGCACATTTTTTTTTGTAACTTAGCACATGGTTATAGTTTTCTTATAGTGCTATAAGACAAAGCTAGAGATCGCAGTAGTTTGTAGGTATATAAACTAATAAATATAGCAGAGTAATAGACAGCAAGTTATAAGTTATGAGCACCAAAACATTTAAAATCACTGTTTTATCTTAGTGTTACACTAAATATAAGGCATAAGTACGATCTTGCCTTTATATTCATAGTGGAAATGTTGGTTACTTGTTATGTTCTAAGTAACATCTAATTCATAACTAAAATTTGCATTCAAAATTAAATATTATCTTATAGAATCATTAAAAAATTTTAAAGATCTAGTGACTTACATATCTAAACATTTCTCTCAGGTTTTATATCGTCTGACTATGTTATTTGTATATGTGAAAGAAAATAAGAAGATATAATGTAACATAACTTACAATGACCAGATGTGATGCAAGGCCAAGGGACCCAATTGGACAAATGATATGGTAATAGTCAAGTTTTAGAGTATAAGACAATACAAGTAAGACCTAAGGGAAAATGTGGATGTGATTGTCTTTACCTAAGTTGAATTTTCTGGTATCTATATATACTCTAAAGTATTCATGCTGGATTTGCAAAAGAGCAATAATAGCAGTCCAAGTATAGTAAGTTTATGAATCTCTGTAGAAGTGGTACGATATCTCAAGCGTCTGCTGATTAACAAGTAAAATGAGTAACATGTGCTAGTGTGTAATGTGATAAAGAGTAACACAATACAGACCCAACATTTTTTATGCAAACAAGATGAAATTTCGTACAGTATTTTCGGAAAGTATTCGTGCACTAGTAATTTTTCGTTTCGTGCAATAAAAATAAATAAATCGTGCGGACTTGGAAAACAATTTCGAGCAAAAAAATTAAAGTCATGGTGCAAAAGTAGAAAAAAGTTGGGTCAGAAATAGTTTTTATTTAGTGCAATTTTATATTCTACGTAGTTGAAAATGAGTAACTTTGTTTATGAAGATGGAAACGGAAACCTAACAAATGAGAATGAAGAAGAGCATCTTGAGTTTGCAATGGAAGTGGATGACGAAGCTTACCCCTTAGGAGATGTTACAGATTTCGCAATGTACACTGATCTCAAGCCTCCTGAAAAAGCAGCCAAAGATGTTGTTATGAAGACTGAAAGCAACACCACAAACCCTATTGCGGGAGATGTTGGTGGGATTTCTAAGAAGACCTATCGGAAGTACAAACCTGAGGACAAGAGTAACTTCTTTCACTTAGTGTATGAAAAGAATATGAGTGTCCGAGGTGCTGCTAAACAGCTTGGTATACCACCAACGACAGCACAAACATGGTTCAAGCAAGGAGAGGCGAGCTTGGAAAAGGACAGTGAGGTCGCTATGGAAAGGGTTGTAGATGGTAAGCGGAAGCTTGGAAGACCTGCAATCCTCAATGATGCTCATAAGGAGTGTCTGATTGAAGCTATTGATGAAAGGCCTGAAATGGTCTTGGAAGAGATGATGGAGTGTCTTACGAGTAGCTTTGAGGATCTGAAGATCTCAAAGACTGCTTTGTATGAGTTTGTCACTACAAAGTGCAATCTCAGCTTCAAGCGAGCAAAGCTTTATTCAGTTGAGCGAAATTCTCCTGAGAAAATTGAAGCTAGATATCAATGGGTGAAACACTGGGAAGAAACTGACATGGATTATATGAGCAACTGCGTTTTTATTGATGAATCTGCATTCCATATCAACTTGAAGCGCTCTTATGGTTGGTCTAAAAAAGGTGATCCGGCCATTGTCACAGTCCCAAAGACAAGGGCAAAGACCACGACTATTCTTGGTGCTATATCTGCTCACGGTGTTGTCAATATCAAGATCAAACAGCCCAAGGTAGCGGAGCCCGCAAAGAAAAGAAAGTTGACAGGAAAAAACTCAACTGTCGCAAACAAGGGCAAAGGAGGAACAGTGACTGGCCATTACTTCAACTTTATTGCTAGTACCTTGGATATTTTGGATCGTCACGAGATCTTCAAGGATAGCTATATAGTCATGGATAATGCGCCTATCCATACGCACCAAGACATAAGAAAGTATATAGAAAGCAGAGGATATGGCTGCGTCTACCTTCCTCCATATTCACCAACCCTTAACCCTATTGAAGAATTTTGGGCTGTTTGCAAGAGCAAGGTCAAAAGAGAGAAACTTTTGAAAGAGGAAACACTCACCTCCAAAATAACAGACGCCTGTAACAAAGTCCTTTTGAGCGACTTGAAGGGGTTCTGTAGACATTCTATGTCTATGTTTGATGATTGTTTGAACAGAAAGCCAATCTAATAAACATTAATTTCGTGCACCATGCATAAATTTTTTGATCCAACTTTTTTCTACTTTTGCACCATGACTTTAATTTTTTTGCTCGAAATTGTTTTCCAAGTCCGCACGATTTATTTATTTTTATTGCACGAAACGAAAAATTACTAGTGCACGAATACTTCCCGAAAATACTGTATAAGGATAGAGAGTACTAGCATTTTACGGTAGAGTTTCTATCTGATCAATTTGCGAGTACTTCCAGAAAAGTTATTGACTTTCAAAGTTAGGGTGCACATAGGTATTCTAATCTCCGAGAGATGTAAGTCCGTAAAGCATCGCCCTTAGTTACTAGGCCATATTGTGAGCATATATAAAAGTATATGCATAGATATAACATACGATAATAAGATAAGCTTTGTCGCGAATAATAGGGTTTCTGAACAAAGACAGCCAACTGAGGTTGGATACAGCTTTCCTCATATGTACAATCCAAATAAGAGGAGGTTTAAACCTCAAGTATTCAATAGAGGATGAAAAAAGACTAAGCTGAATTTGATTCGTATAAGGAAGTTGCCTTTAGAGAAACTGTTGTATACACAGCATTATTCATCCTTTCTTACACTAGTTATGCCTTAAAAGACCAAGCATTAATGCCATGTATGAATATATCTTTCAATCACAGTTTTATCCGCAGCTTCGATGGATGTCTTCTACCTTAGTTTAAACATGTTAAAGATCAGACCATCACATAATCACAAATTGACATCTGCATCAATACCAACGGCAGACGAGGTCTGTGCCCCGATCATGTACCCAGTTCTTGTGTACCTTAATCCATTCAACCGATTAGCTAGTGTATACACACTCAGTCCCAAGTTAAGGATAATCAACTATCATACAAACAGTATAAATACAATACAAAATATAACCTTCAATAAAGAAGAACTTTTATTGACCGTTTTTGGTTCTAATCGACTTATTGATTTGACCATTTTATTAGTGATTATATCACAGTATACTATATGAGCAAATACTCTCGCTCTTTTTTGTTGACTCACCAGTTCTAGGATTAGCCAATTCATGTAAAAGGCCTTCCAATTCTGGTGCAGGAGGTGGAAAAATGACTGATATACGTTCTCTGAAATTGCCATTTTTTGGTGCAGAAAAATGGACTCTTGTTTCCTAATTTAAAATATAACTTTTAACGACTTTTTAATCATGTATACCATTACAACTTACATCAAAAAGGGTCAATAAATTGTTAATCGAAGCAAAATGATGCATTTGAGTATCAGGGAATTGTCGATTCAAGGTGTAATTGTTAACAGAAGTCAAAGCATTTGGGATACTGCGAGCATAATACCGCAAAAGTGTGTTGCAAGTTTCTTCTATCACACCATGTCGAAGAAACATATTTATATGTTGAACAACATGGATGGGTGCTTCATCCAGCAGCTCAGGTATCACCCTAATTTCAAATAGCCTTTCATCTTCTTGAACATGATCTTCAAACTGATCACTATATTTTGCTGCTGTCACTCTTTCCAATGCAGTTTGAAAAGGCTGACCTGCTTGTGGTATTTGGCGCTGCTGATCACTTTCTCTTGCTTCTCTCTCAGGTGAAGTTGGCACAGGCTGTGGTGCTGGCCTGATTTCATGCTCAGCAACAGGAAAGGTCGAGGGTGGTCCATCGGAGAAATCATTGTCATCACCTAATGTCATCTTCCAGTTATTTTTTCATCCTTTTCACAGCAATGATATACCTTCATTTCCACGCAAGTCAAAAAAGTCTTCAAATGAAATACCAGTAAGACTGTCAGCCGCATTTTTAAAGCGCATCAATCTTTCTTTATCACGGAGCAGCCTGATTTCCTCATCTGTCAAAATAGAATCAGTTCCTACTTGCTGTAAGGTGAGTTCCGCGATTCTATCTGTGATGGCTTCAATAACACCACCGAAATGAAAAAATTTGTGGATTTTGTTTTTAAAATCTTGAGCACGGTTCATATTGACAAATATAAAGAGAGATAAAGCTAAATCTGTTCAACTTTATAGTTGAATTGAACAATAGTATCTTCATTGGGCGAATGTTTTGATATATAGACAATGAAGCGACAATAAATTCCCAAGGTAGGATTTGTTTTCAAGTAACCCAAAGAAGGCTTATAGAGACTGCTTAATAGCTTCAAGTAAAAAAAAAAAAATGCATTTGATGCTTGTCAGTTTATTGTTTATTCAGATACTTAAATGAATGTAGTATTTCTGTGGAAGTGTAAACGATTAACACCTCTTATAATACCAAATCGAAGAAGGTTGATGTCGCTTCTAAAAACAGGGAAAAAACGAAACACGGCCTGCATTCTTTCTACAACGAGCTTATGAAACTCTTGAGCTTCAGTATATAAACCACCTGAATTAAAATTGGCTATCATATAAAGATAGGCGACTCGACAGTGGACATATTTGATTCTTGCTGCTGAAGAGATTGTTTGTACATATAAAGTCGCAATATCTCTAGTTGAGGGGTCAGGGAAAATGTCTTTGGCAGAGTCGAGCAGAGTGGCATCTACAATATGAACTGTATTGACCTAATCATGTTTAACCTAAGCTTTTATAGTAGTATCTTACTTACATTGAAAGTGGCATTAAACTGATCCTCTGACTGTAATACCCTCAAAGTGATATCTTCTACTTGTTTGCCTCGAACCAAGCAGTTTGCAATTGTAGCAGGCGTGTGCAAGTTAAATATTTCAAAGGCAAGACAACTCAAGAGAGTGTCAATTACTTTCTGTGTGATACCTTCCCTTTGAATCAAATTGACATAGAAACGAAATTGCCCAGTACTACGATTATACGCTTCTCTTTCGAATATCAATGGCCATATTGGTGCGGTAGGATCAGCTTGATACTGCCCAATGTCAAATATCTCTACACTTTGTACCTGGGTCGGAGCCGTGTAGTCACTAGTAGGCAGTGGCGCAAAGAGTGTTCCTCTCTGACGTAAAGGAAGTCCGGGCTGATCTTGTTGCACGTTCGGAGCTGTATAGTCGCGTGGTGGAGGTCGTTGTGCAAGTCGAGTTACTCTCACTCGAAAGTTTCTTCTTTCTTCTTGAGGAAATGCCCGATCTACTAATTGAACGAGAGGTTCAGTATATCTTTGTCGTAAAACAGGCTCGTGTTGAACTTGTTGCTCAGTAGGTGCCGTAAACTGACGTAGTGGCGGTGGCGCAAAGCGATCTCGAGCAGTGGTGCCTCTACGAATGTCTAGTGCTGACTTGTAAAAGATTCGTAACAGCTGATCCATATCCAACATCTCTGTTATTTCCCAACGACGAGTTTCCAGATTGAATTCAAAATTTTCTTGATCAAATTGGAACAATGATCCCACTGGAGATCGCAATCGACTCAAAAGTTGAATCAATCTTCTATAGTAACTGTAATCATATGGCCGAGATAAGACACCACTGTAGTAATACGAAATCAGTGCAAGCGTAGTCAAACTTTGCTCTGTGTTGATCAAACCTCTTTGATTTGCAACACTCTGATAATACAACAACAACGAGTGTATCATATTGACAATGAACAAGGAGACAGTTTGGGTATCTATAAAAGTTATCAACGGTTCCCGACTGTTCAAGATACGGTTTATCTCAGCGTCCATATTGATCAAGAGGTTAAAAGCATTATCCATATTAAGACTGAACTCTATACGAGCTGGGTAAGTTGACCATTGGTTTTCCATCAAGATTCGTTGCACTTGATGCATTGTATTGATCGCAAGCTCAGTATTTTTATACAACTGATCAGCAGTAAGATCAAAAGCACTGTGCCGGTACCCAGACGAGTCTCTCGCATAATAGGGACTTTTCATGGTATGGTAGCATTGGAGTCTTATTAAGCGATGATGGCCAACACCACCAGGAATATGAGCTCTGTATGAGCAACCACCAATGTTAGTAATATGTGCGAATCTGTCCAAACGAAGATATTTTTCTGACCGATTCACTTGCTCAAAATACAAATCAAGCACGGGAGAATTGTTGTTATTTAGCAACCAAAGTCCAGTTGATCCCTCTCTGCCGATATGCACGCCAATATCTAAAAATACATTTCTTGGATCTATGGTATGATAGTTCAAGTCACTGAAAGCGTTGGTAAATTGCTGTTGATAAAAGGCTCTATCAGCTTCTTGATGTACTTCAATTTCGCTCTTGTTACCGTAAGTATAAACAAAAAAGAAGAAGTTATCAAACGCATGATATGACTCATATCTGTTGTCCGTCGCGTTTACATTTTGTATTTGACGACGCATACAAGCAGCAAGTGTGTCCATGTTTTCATTCTCATAGTAGTAGATGGGATCAAATGAGTAAATACCTCTTCGTCTTGATGCTCTGCTTCTTTCAGCTTGCGCACTAGATGGGATTCGATGCAATGACTGTGGCATAGAAACTTCACGTAGGGCTGGCAGCAAGATGCGATCCACAAAGAAGTCAACAGCCTCGTTTTGAACATCACAGGTATCAATGCCAATGTTTGGAAAAAAGATATTAACTTTAAATCGATTTGTATGGCCAAAGCTGGCCATATACATATTAGGAATCTTGTTCAGAGGTCTTCCTTCATAGTATATTCCTTTGTTTTGCTTAACCACAAGCCTGAAATCTGGTAAGATATACAAGGAGAGTGGAGTTCCTTCAGCAATAGGGATTTCATGGCAAAGGATAGACACAGCATCAATGTCTACAGCATAAAAAAGGCCTTGCAACGGTGTTGTTGGTTCTTGATGAAGGCCGTATCTACGATCGCGATACTGACCTTTGAATATGAAGTTTATACGCTCTTCATCAGTTTCGAGATTTTGAAAGATCTCATTGTACCCTTGCATGTTGAGAGTAGGAGGCTGATCAACCTCTTCAGGCGATGGCGATCTTTCGGTCATTTCTTCGTCTTCTTCAGATGATGAGGAAGTTGCGACAAGCATTCGTCGTCTTCGCCTAGGTGGGGCAGTTTCCGAAGCTTCACCTGGAGGTGAGGGTGACAGCACTAATCGTCTTCTCCTGCCTGTTTCTTGAGGAGGAGCTACTACTGGCTCTTGGGCAGGTGGTGAAGGTGATGCTACTAAACGTCTTCTCCTGCTTGTTTGTTCTTCAGGCTGTTCTTGTGGCAATTCTTCCGCTGAAGGCCATGTAGATATTAAACTCTCAGCTCTACCTCTTGATGTATGATCAGTTCTCACCCTTATTCTTGGATTAGTTATGATCAGACGTTCTATTAACTCTTGCAATTCTTGCTCCTGATGTGAACTGAATGGTTGATTGGGTACCGAAGGACGAGGCCTTCTTCTACTTCTTCTTATTCTTTGGTTCAATGTTTGTCCTCTGATTCTTCTAAGAAATTGCCTGCGTTCTTGAAGACGTCTTTCTCTCTCGAGTCTCTCTGACATTCCTTCACGCAACTCTGCATAATGCTCTTCCCAAATTCGCCTGTTTCTTCTTTCAGCTTCAGTTTCAGTTTCAGTTTCAGTTTCTTCAGCAGGTACATTTGGATCAAGGAAGGTTTGTGTTACGCTTATTTCAGTTGTAGGCATTCGCAAAGGAGGCATACGAAATGTACCTGTTTCAGGTTCATGTTCCTCAACAATGTATTCTTGAGTATCATCATCAGTGATGGCATTGGTTAAATCTTCAGTAGAATCCTGACGGTTGTTATTATTCATTGTTATTAGCAGAAGAAAAAAAGGAAGCAGCTTCAATATTTGATTCTGATCTGATTTTTGACTTGGCTAAGCGCATCACCAATAATAATAATTTTGATATACATAGTAATGTTCATTGGTGCTTGATGCTTATTGGTTCCTGGTATTCACTGTTAAACTGATCGCAGTAATGTTCCAAGTCATATCTGTTTTGCGTTCAACAAAACCAAGAAGGGATAGCCCATCGTGAACTATTGATGACAAGATAACAGCTAGAATGCTAACAGTGTAACTGATATTGTGTTAACAGTAAAAAATGCACATCATCCGTATATCTTATAGCATTACTGATTCAGTAATTAATAAAGATCTATTGTATCCAAGATAACAATCAAAGTAACAAAAGTTGGTTTATGAAGCAATATTGATATGCATAGTTTATTGCTCTTAATTAGATTATTCATATTCTTCACTATCTAGTTCATCTTCCTCATCATTTATTTGTTCCTCACCAGAAACAAAGTCTTCATCCGCTATGGATTCTTCAGTCGCATAATCATCAGCAGTGGTTCCTGTGAATATAGCGAGTTGTTATCCGCTTCAACAACTCCAGATTGTTCGCTACTTGTTCTGTTTCTTCTGTCTCGTCGTGTGCTTCCTTGATTAATTGATTGAACAACAATAGGTGCAGTTCTTGTCGATTCCAACATAAAAAAACGGGCGTTAGGTAACATAACATCAGGAGACACCAATGTAGCATGCTGATTTCTTTGATCTAAAGTGTTCAAACTGAAAGCATAGCGAAAAGAGTTCCAATGGATCTGTCCATTCTGCCATTTGATCCCTGCACTGTTCAGTGCTTTGACAAACAGTTCCATATCTTTAGAAAGCTCAAGTTAGAGTATTAATGTCTAATAGATCAAAACCTTCATCTGTTTGAATGTCAAGAGCATCAAACGCTAGCTTCATATCCGTAACTGCTCTCTCTCTCATTCTTTCATTCATTTCTGAATCCATTTTGAAAAAGCAAAAAAGATGGGAATTTGTCCAATTGATAGTGTACACTCCAAGCTTTTAAATGGCATCACCCCCTTTTTTTTTGTTGAAGCATTCCCAAATTCAACATCATAAAGTAAAAGATAATAAATACAGCTGCTGCAAAATATATCCATATCACGTTTTATTTTCTTGCTATCATCCGTGCATGAATGCCTCTTACTGTTCCTCTTGATCAATGTTTGTTACAAAATTTACCGGGCTAGTAGAAGATATGTTATGTTTCCTCTTGTGGCTTGCATTAGCCCTTGATCATTGATACGTATGCCTCGACTCAACAAGACGTCTACAAAATCACTCAAACCTATGAATAGGTGAGCAAATGTCGGCAAAATCAATATATAAATACCTTGATTAGATCCTAAGACATAGGCAGAAATAAATCTTTTGTAAGCTTCTTTTTTACTCCTTTGTATCTCTTGAGCAGCAGCAGCATCTCTGTTTTCTCTCTGCCTTCTCAGCATTTTCTCAGCAAAAATAAGAGTAACAAAAAGAAAAAAAATGAGGTCTTGCTAAGGTTAAAGAAAGTATATATATATATATATATATCAACAAACAAGCCACCTCGAATGCATCCTACTTGCAGTTTACCAGCAATTTTCGTTTATATAAATGATTCAACAGCCATATAGAACTACTAATCGCGTTGTATGTTCGTTTCAAGATCTTGGTTTATATTCGTGCATGAGAGAGAACGGCTGGGAAGACCTAGGTCTTACTAGTTGACTCCTTCAGCTATATACTTCAACATCGTCTTGTTTATGAATTAAAAACAAACAAAAGAAGTGCATAAGCCCCTAATAAGACTGACTTTCAACCAAAGAAGAAACAAAAAAGGAGCGGGCTTTAATTTTTAATGGGAAATCTTTTGATTTTTTTGGATCATAAAACAAGAGTTCACGGGAAAGTCCTTCATAAAGACGTTTTGAGAAGCTAGTATAATAACAAAGTCTGTAGGGCGGCTATAGACAAACATGTTGATGTAGAAATATTAAGAGATTGTGCGCTAAAGAATTGCACCAGAGCCAGAAAACTGTTTTGATGTTTTCTGGCCCTTGGGAACAACTTTCATATTACACTCTAAAAACCAGAGCCACCGTAGAGTAGCCATAGCTCAGAGCTATCGAACGCATATCTACGTGCTTGATTTTATTGACTTTTAATCGAGAAAAAGTTGATTGAAAATCGCATTTGTAATTGTGAAAAAAAATCAAAGGGGTATACCTGTCCAGAATCGTCAAAAATTTACTTTTTTTCTTTTTCATCACAAATCGCCCTAGACGATACTTTTCATACAGGAAATCACCACAAGCAACCAGAGAAATGACACAGGTCAACAATTGCACGTTTAAAACTATGAAAAGAGCACCCGATGATGTTGTTTTTGGCGCTTCATGTTATTCATCTAACACAATGAAGACTTTCACAGACACAGTAGCCATTAACTCTAGATAGAATGCCACCCCTTCAACAAGCGCGTGTACTAATGAAGAAATAGTGAGAGGTAGATATCAAAAGAATATTTTACACGAAGAAATGAAAGTAACCATAGCTTCTTGGCCGTCAAACATGAATGATGATACAGTGCATTTGTTTGAATGGATTTTTAATGACAATTGATACCCTCAGCTTGCGATAGAATACTTCAATGGAAGAATAGAATATTACATCTCTGAACAATGAAGCCGCATGTATTAGCAATTTTGACAGAGCAGTGAATTACGAAATAAAAAAATCATCATGTCGTTACAAGCAGAGGATGGATTTGGTTTGTCTAACCTATACACAGAGTTCTGATTTTTATTACTTCTCAATGTGTATAAGATTGACAATACGCTTGATTGAAATATGGAAATTAAGGATGAGGGTACTAACTTGCGCTTCTTCAGCGGATGCTTGTCTATTTTCATAAAGAGTTTAAAAATCATCAAAGTTTATTTTAAGAGGGAAAGTTTAACTATTTTTCCATAAGGAGGGACCTCTTGAGATGCTTGCTTTTGCTGCTGCTGTTCTTGTTGTTCTTGTTGATCACAAAGATCAATGATGAGATCCTCGCAGTAATCTATTCTTTCTTTGAGTGCCTCAATTTCTTGAGACAATTCATAATTGCTCAATGGAGCAGGAAGGGAAGGATCAACAGCATTTGTACCATCATTAAATGTAGTAAGAGAAGAGGATGCATTTATATTTTCTATTGAACAAAGGTACTTGTCTATTTTGTTCACTTTAGGTACTCTCCAGGTAACCTTGTTCTGTTTTTTGCTTTGTTTAGCCATTTGTGAATAAGAAGAAGAGAAAAAAACTTGAAATGTCAAATAACGTACCTTTTATAAAGAACGATTGGATTAGTAAATCCAATGACAATGTAAATCAGACTTACCGGATTGCTGCACTTGACATTTTAAAAAACGATTTTTAATAGGATGAAAAGCACTCACTATACTCATATCATTGCCATAATTTTATTGAAGAAGCAGTGCTTGATACAAAATGTATGAGTGACGATAAAGTAACACTTAGGAAAGAAAATTATTCAATAGATCAAGTAGAATAAAACATAAAGTAAAGAGAGAAGAACTTTTATTCAAGCATCATTACATGACCATTTATGAATAGTAAAGAACAAGGCTCAAATACAATTTACTGATTATTATATAAGATAAAGGCTCAGCAATGGTGCTCATGATTCCTTGTAGATATTTATAGATTTGTTGGTCCCACAATGATAGCATCAATACTAGCTATTTTTTCGTTTGGTGTACCATTTTCGAGAAGGGAGTCATCCTGTACTATGCGTAGTTTCTGACCTAATGTATCTGATCCCTCTACTGCAAAATTTATAGCATCTTGAAGAGTGCTGGTTGAGTTTTCAGAATACATTAACAAAAAATTCTGTAAATTGGTCTCCGAGATGTGGTCTAAAGTGAGCCATTGTAAGAAAAATGTCAACTGTCTAGAAGCACCTTACCGTTATTCATTGGTGGTGCAGCCTCTGAAAGATACGCTCTCTGAATATCATGGTACTCCGTAGGATCAACTCGGTACGTGCTATCAGAGCCGTTGTCAGAAGACGACTCGATTTCCGAGTCGCTGGGGTCTTGTTCTGGTCGGTCATAGCCTCTAGTCGGCGAGTGCAATCCTCTAATGTGGCTACAGGATCAAAAGAGTCCTCACTTTCAAGGGGAGATGCTGCTCCAACCGAAATATCTGGTGAGAATGACCTAACTTGTTCGTCTATAGCATCTCTTTGCTGTACTAATAGTACAAAAACATAACGGTTAGAAACTATGAGGCATATATCCGAGCTACAAAGCCCTTTGATAAATAACTTACAGTCAGATCCTTGAAACTGAGACTCCAAAAAAACGGCAACTATATCAACTGGAGCAACTGCTGGTGGTGGCGAGATTGTAGGGAATCTCGTAACCATTGTACGAGCAAAAGGGTTACTCGCAACAGGAAGAAAAAGGGTAGAAGAATTCACAGACTCCGGTGTTGAGGATCTCTCTACAGTGGTACTTCTATTGATTCTCTTGTATTGAGGGCGAGTTCGAGTGACGTTTACTTGTAAGAGAAAAAAAGATATTAAATTTAATAGTCAGATAATATTTTATCTCAACATCCCACAACCGAGATGAGAGTAATAATGAAACATAAAGATAATAATATAGAGATAGCCATATACCATAAACTAGATACGAACTTCAGTTAAGCATCAAGAAACCTAGTAGGACCAAAAAAGCTTTTAAAGAGATTCATAGAGTAGTAGTAAAGGATATATGGTATTATAGCTGACAGATAATATTTGTGTACGAAATGAATAAAATTTTATTCCAGATCTATATAAAATTCATGATAAAATATATTTAAAAAATAATGTTCATTGAGCCCTATAGAAAGTTGAAGCATATCTTTGATAATGAGGATAATGCAATACAGTACTTGATAGATAATAACTTTATTAATAAACACGAAATGTGTGGCAAATGTAATTCAAATATGGCTTATTACGTTAAAGAAAAGTTATTTAAATGTAGAAACTATAAATGTAGGAAATCTATTTCCTCTTTAACAAATACTATATTCAGTAAGATGAAACTACCTGTTAATATACAAGTACATCTATTATATGAATTTCTAAAGAAATTACCTCCTACAATATTGGCATCAAGTTTAGAGATAGATAGAAAAACAATTACAAAATATTTTAAATTATTCAGAACATACTTAAAAGATAAACAGTTATATAAACCATGTAGTGAAATTTGTGGTAGAAATGAAATAGTAGAGGTTGACGAGAGTAAAATAGCTAAAAGAAAATATAATAGAGGGCATAAAGTTGAAGGTGTATGACTAATAGGAGGTGTGCAAAGAAGCAGATTAAAGAATAAAACTAGAAACGAAAACAAAAAATATGTTTCTGTTACCTATTAAAAAAAACATAGAAAGCATAGATGAGATTATTAAAAAAATAAGTTAAAAGAGGTACTACCATATATACTAATTGCTGGAAAGGATATAGTAATATTAAAAATATAGGATACAAACATGCAACAGTTAATCAACCCAAGCATTTCAAAGACCCTAAAACAGGTGTTCATACTAACACAATTAAAGGAATATGGAATGGATTTAGATATGGTGCTTCACCTAGAAATAGAAATAAAAGAAATACTACATTACATATTAAAGAACATTTATGGAGAAAAAGAAATAAAGAAAATAATATGTGGAAAGATTGTCAACGTAACCTTGGAAGATTTAAATAAAGTATTAGATAGTACTGAGTTTATCAGAAATATAAAAAGAATGTTTATAATGAAAGTAATAGAAGAACATAATATAGAGAAAGTAAATATAACATTTAACGCTAATACTAAATCATTCGAAATCAATATCGTTAAAGATGAAAATCAAAACTTTTTTAAGTATAAAGTTAAAAGACAAAGATCAGATTCTCAATCCAGAAAAAATAAAAACAAAAGTCAAAAAAGTCAAAACATTATGAAGAATTATCTGATGATATTAGTAGTAAGAAAGAAGATATGAATATTAGTGGAAGCTAACTATTGTAGCAATATAAACGATAAACACAATAATAGTATTGCTAACACAAGTGAAAATAATAACAACAATATTGTTGAAAAATCAAAAGATAATATAGCTATAAATGATTTTAATAATAGAAATAACTGTGATAAAGATAGTGACATAACGAATATAGTTGATACAGAAGCAAATAATAAAAATTTAAAAAACGAATTGATAAAAAAAATAGAGAACTTATTTGATATAACGTTAGATCTTTATACGTTATTACTTGATATATTTAAAATAATCAATTATAATAATCCAAAAAAAGCCATAAAAGAACTTTATAAATATAGTAACAAGTATGAATATGTAAAAGATGTATCAAAACAATTGGATAAAACAAACGATGATTTAATAAACTTGACATGTCTTTTATAAAAAAAAATAGCCCTAAATGGATAATAGTATATTAGGATAAAAACAGATTAAAATAAAAAAATATGTCTGTTATCGTCCTCATCACCCTTTTTTTATTCTTCGGTTCTTTATATACTTAATAATGGAATATCTGGTTCATCTACAATCTTACTCTTGTTTTGAATTGATGCTAGTGACATTTCCTCTGTATATCCTTCATATAAATAATGTCGAACATAATATGTATGATAATCATGAAGTCTCTCCGATGTAAGTCGGAAGCAAATGCCTTTTCTTGTTTCATATGTCTTTCTTGGTCCACATACAGGTACAAAATTGCGCAATGTGTCTAGTATGCAGAATAGCTTAGCGTGGAAGACATTTAGTTGCACCAATGATAGTCTTCTGTCTTGATACATAGTAAGAAAGACTGCTCTAGATCCAAAGTATGCCCATGATCCTGCTTTTATCTTGCTTATTAGAGTCGATCGTTCATTGTTTGCCGTGGCGCATGGTAAAAAATGATTAAAAATCATTTTGTGCAAATGCTGAATGCCTTTTCTTTCGATTCTTGGTTCTTGCTTGAAAATTCTACCTCCACCCATATATGATGGTTTTGATTAAAGGTTTCAAGCTGGTGGTCTGTGTGAAGAAATTCGGCTTTTGGTCTGTAATTCTGATCCTCGTAGAGTTTATTTGGCAAAATGTGTGTAAAATACTCCTTCATGAACAAACGAAAAAAGAGGACAGCGGCAAAGTTTGAAAGTCCAAATCTTTTGAAGATCTCTTTCGCAGATAAAGTATATGATAATGTATGACATGTCGAACTTTCGTCACAAAAATGGTTTTGTGATTGTTCTATCGCAACTACAAAAGGTTCACTAGGTGCTGGTAGTTGCATGTTCAAAAGCGGAATATACTCTCGGTACAAGTTGTGATCTTGTAGTTTTAGATGATCGCTTGAAAGAGCTATATCTTGACTACTTATTTGGTTTGCTAGAGAGGGGTACAATTCCTTTAACTCTAAAATCAAAAATGAGTGATTACAAAGTAGATTGTCATCATCAGATACAGTAAATAGACCCCGAATAAATAACAACTTATTGGATATACATCATCTTGTGTTAATAATGTCTCTGATAACTCTATATTTGGCATCTGACTGTAGAGGAAGAACAAAAAAAGACAGTAGATAAGACATAATAGCCAGCCCTGTCAATGCTTCCTTGCTAGTACTACCACTGACATTTGAAGCAATAAATACCAATGAGTCCACACGAAGACGAAGATAGTTACAAAGCGTTTGAGTTGGCACAATGCTTAAATGCGTTCTATGAGATGCAAAGAGACTATAAGAATGACTTAGCCTTATACATAAAAAGATAGAAACTATTGCTGAATCACTTACGCATCAATCATATCTGACAATTTGTACATCGATCTCTCCAGCACAGTTGCTCTAACTCGAATTTCCACTCTCAAATCGTAGCTCTCCATGTGCATAAGACCTAAGGTTGACGATAAGTAGGTCTATTAAACGAAATATTGAGTCGACTTTTTTTGCGAATGAGATGAGACTTCGTAAGCAGATAGAGAATGCTAAAATCTTATAGTACAATTTTACCAAACCATTTTGCGAGTAATTCCATATAATAGAATAAAAGGTAGCAAGCGATAGCGGCAGGAGCATGGTGGATTGGTAAAATGCGTGTGTTAGGAAAAGGGAGGATCCGAGTTCGAGTCCTGACAAGGACGAGAACTATAAAGGAGAAACACTAGAGACACACCAAAAATTGAAAAAAGTAAAAAATGTTGAAAAAGTAACAATTTAAAACCCAACAAAAAATCAAACACAACAAAATATTTTGTACCAAAATATTTTGTAAGAAGGGAGAACAGGATAAGGGAATAAGAAGAAAAGACAACCAAGACCAAAGATAGGGTCAGGGTCAGGGTCAGGGTCAGGGTCAGGGTCAGGGTCAGGGTCAGG